GAAATGTGCTTTGACGACATATTGTGGTGCAGAGGCCATTGCGTAGGGTTGTTTGAAGGTTTGAAGGTTGGAATGTTTGAAGTTTATGAGTTATTCGAAGGTTGGAATGTTTGAAGTTTATTGATTGTATGAAGGTTTGAAGGTTGTAAGGTTTGAAGGTTGGAATGTTTGAAGTTTATGAGTTATTCGAAGGTTTGTATGTTTGATTGTTTGAAGGTTTGAAGGTTTGATTGTATGAACGTTTGAAGTTTGGAAGGTTTGACAGATTAAGTGAATCAATGTTATGATAAACGTAAGACTAAAAATCTCATACTGAATTTCAATTAAGTAAGGATGTAACCCCCAAGGCTGCCAATAGTGTTACATGCATGGCATTGCAAAGGCTGTCACGTAGCCTGAGCCTAGTCTGCAACCAATGACACATCTTATTCGCCAATTGGGATGGTGACACCTTTCATTTTTGTAATCTTTTGCCAAGTCAAACGGCGCCTCCCTTAATGTCCAATCGTGTTACATGCATGCAGATATGTAACCCTCTAGGCTACCACCTAGTCTGCACCTACTCTGCACCTACACTGTATCTTGTAAAACTCCTCCCATCATCTCCAATAGTGTTGCATGCATTCAGGCATGGCATCCCAAAGGCTGTCACGTAGCCTGAGCCTAGTCTGCAACGAATGACACCTCTTATTCGCCAATTGGGATGGCGACGCCTTTTATTTTTGTACTCTTTCGCCAAGTCCAATGGCGCCTCCCTTAATGTCCAATCGTGTTACATGCATGCAGATATGTAACCCCCTAGGATGCCACCTAGCCTGCGCCTACTCTGCACCTACATTGTATCTTGTAAGTCTCCTCCCATCACCTCCAATAGTGTTACATGCATTCAGGCATGGCATCCTAAAGTTTGTCACATAGCCTGAACCTAGTCTGCAACAAATGACACCTCTTATTCGCCAATTGGGATGGCGACACCTTTCATTTTTGTACTCTTTCGCCAAGTCCAATGGCGCCTCCCTTAATGTCCAATCGTGTTACATGTATGCAGATATGTAACCCCCTAGGCTGCCACCTAGCCTGCAAGAGTGACACTTCTCATGCATGCATACACCAGCTACCACCTCACTCACTCTATGAAATTTTTTTGCCTATAAATACAGACCATATCATACATCTCTCACACCCACACTCGTCTCACTCTCTGCTACGAAATCTTTCATAATCTCTTACACTTTCTAAGTCTTTCATAATCTCTTACATTTTCTAAGTCTTTCATAATCTCTTACACTTTCTAAGTCTTTCATAATCTCAAGCATTTTAAATAATGGCTCTTCTAACAATGGGCGATTCTCACAGAAGCACAAGGGAGAACATTGCCGTATTTGTAAGTTTCTAATTTGGTTATACATTATTTATACTTAAGGTAATGCTATGTTCATCTTACTTAATCTTACATCTTTTACATTATTAACTCAGGATACCAAAAGATTCAGAATCTGGTATCACAACTATCTGGCTCCCGACCCATTTATCGTACCATATCTGGAATATGCAGGTTTCAGACATGTTATAAAGATCTCCAACTACACAATTGATTCGAAGTTCATTCTTGCAATGTTGGAAAGGTGGAGACCGGAGACCCATACATTTCACCTACCAATAGGTGAATATACCGTCACGCTAGAGGATACGTACATGTTACTAGGTCTCCCTGTCGACGGTAAGGCCGTGAACGGGTCGGTTCAACAACCCAACTCTCAGTGTGAAGAACTGTTGGGCAGGGATATGGTAGAAGGTGGTGGTCGAGAGGTCAGGGAATACTACTCACTGAGCTTAAAAGTCATTATGCAAGTTTGGAATTAAACGAAAATTCCTCCGAGCAAGACAGGGTAGTAAAAGCCAGAACTTATCTTATGATACTATTTGGTACCTTTTTATTTCCCGAAAGTACGGGAAATAGTGTAAATTTTATGTATTTACATTTACTTAGAGATTTTGAAAAAACAAGAAAGTATAGTTGGGGTTCTGCAGTTTTAGTCCACCTATACAGTTCCTTGTGAAAAAATGCAGTCAAGGAAAAATGTACATTTTATGGGTGCGCTTTTTTACTACAAGCCTGGGGTTGGTGGAGGATGGAGTCCTTAAACCCCGTCAACAACAACACTTTCATTTTCCGGTACGCAACAAAGTAAGTCATCAAGTTATATCATTTATTACTATTCATCTCTTCACCAAATATATACTAAAAATAAAATGTTTTTCATTTCGTTTAGGTGTTGCGTGAGGGGTATGGATTACGACAAGAATCCAAGATTCAATGTCGCACTATACTGCAATCTGTTGGATCACTTAGGTCCGGATGATGTACGTCGTACCTTTAAACTTTTCTTCATTTAAATTATTTATATATTACGTTTTCGTTAACCTGATTTAAATTTTTTTGCAGTTCGTCTGGAGACCATATTTGGGTTTGGGCCATGAACCAAACCCGGAGGATGCAGCAATTTGGACCGCGAAGACTGCAATCATTCGGTTTAACGTTGTGGAGATGCACCACAGCGACCGTGTGAAGATGCAGTTCGGAATGCATCAAGAGATACCAAGTGATCCGACTTGTTTGTCCCCATGGCATCTCAAAAGGGTCGACGCCCAGTAGGGTCTTACCAACTGGAAAGACTTTGCTCCGGAATGGTGTAAGATGTGGCAGAGGCGTCACCGATATGTCTTGCAATTCCCGGTTTTCCTTAATCATGGTAATATGCGACACGCGGATCAATATTTATCTTGGTACAGGTCGGTTAGTAACCCTGAAATGCACGTGTCTCATCCAAGGTATTTGGTTGACCCACGCACACAATGGGCACAACCCTCGTTTCCCCAACAACAAACCCAAAACCCATCAACCTCCCACCAACCCCCCAGAAGAAACAGAACCACAAACACCCAACCACAGTCCCCACCACAACACAATTACACTCAAATGCCCCACAACCAACCACAATCACCACCTCAGTACCAATATCCCCATATGCCTCACACCCAACCATAATACCAATCACAATACCAACACACCCGCATACCCCACACACAATTTCAGTCTTCCGTATATCCCAATATGGGCCCCTCAACATCCAGCCTTAGCCCTGATCTGGGAATGTCGGAAGATTATGAACAAACCGATCCAGCCTACCATCAACCACAATATCACCAAACCACCCAACATCCTCAATACCAAACACCCCAAGATCCATTTCCTTTCTACCCACCGTACTCAGACGATCAATGTTACAGACCCACCATGGAACCCCACCCACCGCCAACACGACCAAACTTTGAGGGTATGGGTAACCGACTGTACCAAAGCGGATCTTCTAGATATGGAGATCTGACTGATTTTATAGATCCGGAACGCATTGACTTCGCTGGGCCATCGACCCTGCCACAGCAGGAAACGCGACGACACCCAGCACGGGAAAGGCAAGGACGGGGATGCGGAACCGGGGGTCATTACCGGGTTCCGGGGGATCACTGATTTATCTGTTTTTTTTTTGTTTTTTTTATCTGTTTTTTTAATGTAATATATTTGGATGTAATTATTTTTTTTTAATAAAAAGTCAATTTTGTTGATCACTGATTTATCTGTTTTTTTTTTGTTTTTTTTATCTGTTTTTTTTATCTGTTTTTTTAATGTAATACATTTGGATGTAATTTTTTTTTTAATAAAAAGTCAATTTTGTTGATCCTGTATCCAATACGCAATGCACCGGACCAAAAAAAACGCAAAATTTTTCCTAGATATACACATAGGCGCCATCTCACTTGGCTTAGGGCATGCCCTAAGCACATAGGCGCCAAGTGAGATGGCGCCTCCCCTTAAATAATGGGTGTAGGCGCCAAGTGAGATGACTCCTCCTTTTGGGAGTCATCTGAAACATGGTTATTTGCGTAATTTTTTCCAAAACGCGGTTATTTGCGGAAAAAAATTTTAATACTTGGTTATTCAAAAAAAATTCCATTTGTTTTCCTTAATTTTCAAATTTCTAATTATTTGTTTTGTTTTATGCTTTCCTTTTACTTTTTGATATTATAATATTAATTAAAGTAATAGTAACTGGCCAAATTGTATAAAAAAAGTACATGACTGCGAAATTGAAAAACATCCATACGAAAGGTGGTTATATGTATACTATGCAAATAAAAGTAATAGTCTTGTTTGCCTATCCCTAGGGTCGGGCCGGGCAGGATCTGTAGGCGTATAGAAAATTCGTAGGAATCTGAAATCAGTTTTCATTAACAGACTTTTAGAAAATCAGAAATATTAAGTGAAATGTGGGGTAGAGTCTTGATGCGACAAAGCAGATTTTTCAGCGCGACAACACAGAAATGAAATTGTAAGGTTAACATTCAAATGTCCAAGTCAGAATGAAGAGTAAATGTAAGTTATAGTTCAGAGCATACACCAAGACTCTGATGAATTGACTTATATATAATATGATGGACGATTATAGACAACTTTTGCTTCTTAACATAGAATATGAAAGATCGATATATGACATCTAACGGTAGACAACAGTCCATGATGTAAATCTAATGTAGAACTGCAAAGTAAGATTATACTCTACCTTCAACGTGATGGTAAAATAACTTTAAAGTGATGATTGAATCTCTCTTTTAGACACCTGACCCTGACCGACTCATAACAATATTAATATTTGTAGGTTAAATTAACATATCTACACAATATATGACAATAAAAAGGAATCTTTACTCGTAAAATTAATTAACCGCTTAAATCATGTGTGTCCCTCCAAGAAATAGAGATAAAATTGAAAGGAAAATGAATAGTGTGTGCCTAGGGTTAGATTAGAAAGAAAAAAAACAATCATTCATGGCTCTTTCATCTCAAAAATCGCAAAACATGTTCATCTTGATCAAATAACACATTCCAAATTCACCATCATCATCAATTCGAATCAATCAACCACTCAAAATCCTCTACCATGGGATCGCAAGAAGGACGCCAGAACCACTGGAGTGTCTTTGACGGCGTCAAGATAATTGTCGCGACGCCTGAGGCTCTAATGACGGAGATTGACTATGCGATTTCAAATCTGGAATACGCATGCGCCACCGCCGTACTCGACGTCGATCAGTTACACGATGCATGGACGACGGACAAATCGTACCGAGCGGGTTGCGCTGCTTTGGCCGGCGGGAAGCTGGAGGAAGCGCTGGATTGTTTCAATGTTTCGCTGGAAAAGTGTCCTTCCGATAACATTGCGGCGGTTGCAAAGCTGAAATCTTTGATATCTCTCACTTCTCAACACCTTCAATCTTCTTCATCATTATCGTCTTCTTTAAATTAACCATTAATTATCAAAAGAGGTATATCAACAATACCTCTTTTTCAGTATATTTGTAGTTTTTAATTAAATTTTTGTATGAGAATAATTTGTAATTAATTAATCATGTACTTTCACATTTTTTTAAAGAAAACTTTACATTTTAATATTTTTATTTTCTTTATTATTATTAAGCTTAAGTGTACTTTTGGTCCTTATACTAAGATTCTTTAACTTTTTATATTCCTATAAAAAAAACTATTATTTATTTTCTTTGTTTTTTGGTGGTTCCTTGTACATGGTAGTCGTTTTAATGACCTGGTACTGCTTTCTATCACATGTTATTAACTGATGTCATGTTATTATTTATTATTAATTTAAAAAAGAAAAATGTTTTTAATATAAGAAATAATTTAAATTAATTTTAATATTCAATTTTAATAATTGTATTGAATTCAAAATTAAAATTTTATATTTCAATTTTTTACTTTATGATGTGTTTGGTTCAAGGATTCGGAAGAGTTTCTCAGAAATAAGTTATCCGGGAATAAAAATAAAAAAGTTTAATTTATAGATATTTTAAAGAAAATTGCATTTGACATATTATTTGATATTCTCAGAAAAATTAGTAGTTATATTTTTTTATAAAAAAATTATGTGAAATCTCATGGGAATGAACATTCTCACATTTTTACATAGGAATATAATCATTGAAATTATAGAAGTTATTGAAAGTTATTTTATTCTTTAAAAATTTTATTCTTAAGAATAATTTTTTTTCAAACTCTTAACAAACATGAGTATAACTATTTTTTTTAAATTATTCCTAAAAACCTAATTCTTAAACTTAAAACAAATAACCCATTAGTCGTCATCTTCACCTTCTCACAAAGATTTTGCCATACAAGTATAGAAATTGGGCTAATGAAAACTAGTGGAACAGAAAATTTAGAGAAATACTCCTAAAACATAAAAAATCAGACAAAACAAAGTAGCATTGCAAATTTAATTTAGTGTTTTTAGGTTTTTTATTGAAAGGTTCCTCTTGAGAAACTACGGCGTCTTCTTCTTCGAGTTGTTCGAAAACAGCGGGGTTCCTTTTTCTTCTTGCTGCTACTACCTATCAGAACTACAATTAAAATTGATTTTTTGATTTCCTATACTAATACTTCACTATTTCATTCATGTAGATTGATTTGGGATTTTGGGAGTTTAAGAAAAAAGCTCTTTTTTTGTCTTTTGTCAAATTAGGGTTTTAGTTTAAATAAGTGTTTATTCAAGAAGTTACTTCATAACAGTAGTTTAAATAAGTGCTTATTCAAGAAGCTACTTCATAACAGTAGTTTAAATTGAAAATACTACTAACACTTTTTTGTTGGAGTTAAATAATCATTTATTACTCTTATATATTAATTATAATGTTTCTGAAAAATAAAATATTAAAATATAAATTAAAAATGAATAATTAATTGATTTTAATAATGTGGCAAATGATTGATCAAATCTTACTATATTATGTCATTAAAATAATTGATAAATGATTAGGAATTATAAAAAATTCAAATTATTTGATATTAAGGGATTTAATAATCAGTTAAATCAACATAGAGGACTAAAAGTCTTATTACTATTACTTTCACCCTATGTGATGTAAAGAACAAATTTATAAAGTAATAGCAAAATAATAAATTAAAATAACTAATATTAAATATTAATTAATATATTAAATAATATTTATTGGAAAAAAATAACGTAATTAAAAATTATAGAAGCTTAATAAGGATGAACCCACGAAGTGAATTCTAATCACAAGAAAATAATTCTAATCATTATATTATTTGAAGAAAAAAAATAAAAATTAACAAAAATGAGAACAATCAGCAACATTGATGGTAAAAAAAAGGTCTTTATCTCTAGAAATTATGAAAAACTTAATTTAACTAGTAACGTCCTCCATTCGTTTTTTTATATATTTATAAATTATTTTTGAGTTTTTCACACATTAAAATTTTTTACAAAATTGTGATTCATTAATAGTTTTGGGGAAAAAAATTGTAAATAATTAAAAATAAGTGAATAATAAATATTTGAGAGTAGAATAAAAAAATAATATTAATGATTCATTAGTACAAACAAATTTCTCAAAACAACTTAAAAAAACGGAGGGACCAATTTGTTTTTATTACTTTTGTTGATATATCGTAAAACTTATAATTTTAAATAATCTCAAATAAATAATTTCAAAAAGTCTGTAATATATATTTTAATTAACATCTAATATATTAAGTTATTTTTAAGAAATTCGGTATTGATATTTATGGTCCATTTAGAATAACATTTGAATTTGAATCACTGGAGTTGCCCTTTTCACACAATCATGCAGCCATTTGATCTTGAACCGATGGATTAGAAAAAGTAGTTTTAACTTTTATTTTATAATATAAAAATATTTTGTTTAAACCAAGACCTTCTGATTTTAATCAAACAACCAAGTTTGCCTTCTGATTTAACTTGAAATTTAACTTGAATCCTTAATATTTAACTTGAAATTTATCAATTAAAACTAGTATTTAATTATTGATTTTATTATGAATTTATAATTATTTAAAGAGAAATTATATAAGTGAATTTTTAAAAAAAATGCACTTGCTAAAAATGTATAAAGAAGGTAGTATAATTTGGAGGATTACATGTGATGTTTAAGTTTGTTGATAATGCTTAGAGTTAATTTACGTAGTGTGATAAAAAACTTTGCATATATGATTTAGGGGTGAAAATGATTTCATTCCTCCTCAGCCCTAAGGTTCCATGAGCTTGGATTAGAGAGTCCATGGGTCTGAGTTAGAGAGTTGTTATTTCAGCTCCTCTATCAGACATGTGGGAAGGAAATGAGTTATTATTCTTTAAATTTTGGAGAAAACATTTATCCTTCTTGACTATTTATTCTAGTTTGTTGTGATGGGCATGTCATATCCCACGTCCATTGGGCAAGTGGATAGTGGAAGGAATTCAGACGGACAAAGCCCAAACAACAGGCTGTTTATTAAGACCCAAGTGTGTTCATATCCTATTTAAGGCAACCCATGGCTTCGTAGGGCCACTTGTCCTTTGGCAGTGTGTTTTTCCTTCCTTATAAGACTATCCCTTCTTAAGACCCAATAAAATTATATCAGTACATAATCCCTCAAACATGAGTTCTTATAAAGGACAAAGTGATTTAGTTCAAGCGTTTCTAGGCTTCATATTTGAGCTAACCACTAGAGAGGTTGAGGCGAGTCTCTCAAGCGTCACAGAGTAACACATTTGCAACATACAATGAAACTAATGATAGATTTGTCTCGGGAAGCCAAATTGGTATGGGTTGTTTACACGTGTCATAGATGTGGGCAATCTTTAGCAACCGTAGGCGTGCCTAATGAGGTTACTCATTACCTCACCAAGTTCAACGCTCCATCCTTCTTTTACAAGTATATGTTTTTACTCGTCTTCTCACTTTTTCTTCTTTAATGGTAATCATTAGGGATTTAGATGAGAGCAGTAAGGTGATAGAGCCTTTGAATAGTAAGGAGTGGTCAGAAATGTATCTACGATGCATGAAGAATGTAGAGTGGGTGAACAATTCAAACGACTATAGGGTTTTATAAATAATCGGATTTGGGAGTTATGAGGCACAAGTAGTTTTGCGAGTGATAATGACTTTTTTTTTAATCTTTTTTGTTCTTTCCCAAGAAACTAATGACGGCCAATGATCCTAAGTACACAAGCATTGAGGACTTCAAGACCATTCATACTTTTAAAGAGAGTATGGCCTCATTTGGGCGATATATTATCATTTCTAGCTTTGGTGACGAGGATGAAGTTATTCTAGAGGCATGTTCTGAAGAGGAGCACCTCAACATGGTTGCCCTCCCTGAATCACCCAATCCTTTCTTTATAAGAGATGCTTACTGTTGTACCCCGAAATTTGCCCTCTCATTTTACCAAGATTTCCCCTCACAAGACTTTTTAAACTCCAGACAGGACTAGGGTTTGCTCTGCTCAAGACATCTCCTTGCACTGATGACCTAAATTAGGGTTTGAGTTTGCACAGGGATTTTTGGACTTTCAATGCTCAAAGTGACTTTCATACTTCATGTTGGACTTATAAGATTGCCTCTACCAAGTTTCAAGCTTTGAATCAAATTTTTGCCCAGTCAATTGGACAGTTGACCTAGAAATCAGTTGTATTATAGGAAAAGTCAATTGTGGCCAATTTACAGTCAAACCTCACAATTTTTTATCCACATCAACATTATAAACTCATATGAACCATTTTATCAAGTTTGGACCACAAGTCCTCAAGAAATTTGATCAGATCACCAAAAAGGCAAAATGGTCATTTTTTAGGGTTTTGACTGCACAAGGGCAATTTCTGATTTTTAACCTAGCCAATGGCAAATTGGGTTCAAGCATGGATTTAAGGACTCAATGGCATCATCTTGACCTATTCACAAGGTTCAAAAGATCTCAAATGCATTGGATTGACAGATGAATTTTTCAGTCAACTGATCAAAATTTGATTGTACACTGAAAAGTCAAACTTTGACTTTTTGGTCAAAATCAAGTGCCAAGGGTCATTTTTCATCAAGATGTGTAAAAACATGAAACTTGTTCATCAAAAAACCTAATTTTTGCAAATTAGGATTTAAAATTGAAAATTTTCATAACTTCGAATTTTTCTAAGTTATGGAATTGTCTTTTTTTTCTTCAACTTTGCCCAACATTTTCACCATGATGCAATTGGATTCAAACAAAACTTTCAACATGAACGTTGTAGTCCTCCACAAAGTCTACAACTTTTATTCACAAAGTTTTCCCAAAAGAAGCTTGGATCTAAAGTTATGATTTTTGGAACAAGGGTCCATGAAACTTTTAACTTAGTGAAATTTTACCCTAGTTTAGGCATGATTTTGACCTATCTTCATGGCCATTTTTCACCTAGTTCCACTTGGATTCTCAAAATGAATTTCAAAGATGGATTGTATAGAATGTTACAAGCTTTCCAAAATGTCCAAGAACTCTCCAAAATCATTTGTGGTTAGGGAGAATCGAAGGTTTGAATTTGGCAAAAACTCACTTTTGATCCATGGCATTTTCATGTTGATACAAGTTGCAACTTCCATCCAGCATTGCTTGTACTTGATTACAGGTCCCTAAACCCTTTCATACTCAATAATTAAATTCAAATCCATTGGTTTTAGGCTTTATTCTGATCATGGGAGGATTACACAAGAGATTAATCCAAAAATAGCAAAAAGGCAACATTGCCATTTTTGTCAAATTTGCTTTATGTCAAATTGCATTCTTGAGCCTTGAACTAAATCTTGTACATCAAACAATATCCACAATCTTGGGGCCAAGCTCACACAATGTATGCAGGGTTAGAGCTAGCCTGTACAGGCCTGCTCTTTGTCACTTCTCATTTTTGCTTCATAACCAAGAAACTTGCCAAAGAGCCATAACTGGCATATTTGTTAGAACCAACTCTTGCAAGCATTAGAGACAAGTTTTATACATTCCCTTGAGCCAGAAACACGAGCCATTGAGCCCTCAAACCTTCCAAAACACAAAATCACCTTCCTCTTGCAAAATAGGGCAGCTTCTGCACTTTGAGTTCTATCTCACAAACTACTCGTGCGTTTTGCCCCAAACCTGTTCAAACACCTTCCATATAACCTATCTAAGTTATCCTAACCATTATGCAGTGATTGTAACTCCATTTGCAAGCTTCACCATTTCTGTTTTCAGCTTGTGCAGGTTGAGTTCTACAAGCTTGTTCAAGCACATCCAAGGCAAACTAGGCATTGGGGAAGGTCAGAGGAAGTTCAAGCAAGCTCCCAAGCACCGCAGGCCTCACTGAAAAGCTCCACATTGCCATATTCGTGTTCAGTTGAAACAGGTATTTTGCAACTTCCTATCTCTCTATTTAGGAATCATTAGGCTTAGGTTTGTGAATAAAAAATGTAGTACTCATAGCCCTGAAGTTGTACATGTGCTCAGTTTTCATTTAAGTTAAGCGTGTTAAGAGAATTTGATTCATGAACTTCCTGAAAAAATTAGGTTAGAATTTAGGGTCAGAGAAATTCTCTCTGGTCTTTGAGAGTTAGAATGAGTTCTTTACATGGTTGGAATCATCTTGAAAAATGATATAACTTTGGTGTTATGAGTTTTTGCATTAGAGCACGTATGCAGGTTTTCCATATTTGAGTCAGGCGCGCGCGTTTTTGGTTGACAAAGGTTGAAGATGAAGTTCAGTGGGCTGGGCTTGGTTCTGGCATTGTTTTTGACACCCCCTCTTTACTGATTGCACCCCCTGGCCCATTTCTTTATATTTTTGTATTTTTCATTTTATTTTTTTCATTTCTGATTTTATTTTATATTTTCTAAACATAAAAAAATACCAAAAATATTTTTATAAATTTTCACATTTATTTTTATATTTTTATTTTATTTTTCTAACATGAAAATAATTATTAATTAGTATATATTTTTATTTTCTTTAATAAAAAACAAATAAATATTTTAGAGATATTATATATTTTTATTTTATTATTTATACATATAAAATAATATTTTTCCACATGTTTTTATTTCTTAAATATCTTTGTATACATTTATGTTTATTTTCTTGTACATAAAATAAATAGTATAGTATATATTATCTTAAAACAAAAACTAGGGTTTCCACCCTTATTAAAAATAATATTTTTTCTAATATATTTTCATTTTTTGACATTTGTACATATTCCATTATTTTATTTTATTGTATATAAACAATATAATTAATATACTTTCTTAAAAGAAAATTAGGGGTTTTACCCTTAATAAAAATAATCTTTTTATTTCTTTTTTTATATACATTAAATATTTTATTTTTACACATATAAAAATAAACAAAAACTTTTTTTTGCACATTCATAATATTTTGCATATTTATACTTTATTGTTTATTTATTATTTAATGCAAAGAATTCAATTTGGATGTAATAGTAAATATTAGGGTTTTAATTTCTTGCAAAATAATCCCCATTCAAAAATTGTATCCCCCTCCCCATATCAATGTTGTAATAGCTTAGGTTTATTTTGCGCACTTTATGCTTTCAAATATGCCATGATTAGAGATTAGGGTTTGTATGCAAAAAATCCAAAATCAAACAAATAGCTTGACTAATACAAAGACAAAAAGCATGTAAATTGACAACACAATGCACACATGCACCCTTAGGGTTTCATCCACTTGTTGCCTTGAAAATGGCCATGTTATGCATGTTGAGTATCTTGGCAAAACAAAAACAAAACAAAAGATCATAGTCCCTCGATGATGCTATCTTGGTTGCCTATACAAAATGATCTAGTCCCTCAAAAAATTGCTAAAGATACTTAGCACAATTGCTATCATGGTCAATACGATGACCCACGTCTGTCCCATTTAACATCCAAGTACAAGGTTGTTTACCAAATGCAATGGTAAAACAACACTGTCAAAAGGGTTAAAAATGTGTAGGAAAGATCTTTGAGTAGATAGGGTAGACAACTCTTAGTTACTTGATCAAAACTCGCAAAAACATCCTTGCTATTTTCAAACACACGTCACAACATAATTTCAAAACATTTCCAAAAAACAAACTTTCAAACTTTCAAACATTGAAACATCCTTTCAAAAGACAATACACCTTTGTATACATTCAAACAAGAATCATTACAAAGGTTGCCACAACGATGGCCTCTTTTCAAAACATTTTAAAAACCACACACAAAGCACCATTTCAAACAATTGGAAAAGCAAAGCAAGTGATCTAAACAAGTAATTAAGAGCCCATGGATAACCATGGATGAAAAGGGTGCTTTCACTTCCCTTTTCATAATCTACCCCCCGAACCCAAGAAAACATCTCAAAGGTATTTCCTGTGCTTTTTGACCTTTCCTTTGGATAAAATAAAAAGTCGGTGGTGACTCTTGCTAAACTGAAACATTTGCGAACACAAACGCAAAATCTCAAGTCAGTTCTCTCACCGTATCACACTTACTTATAAATATTATCATATTAAAGCTCGTCAATAAGTACTTGGAACTATAATTATTGGAGGAACAATACCGAAACCTGTGGATGCTCCAGAATCTTTTCGATTACTCATTCGCAAACTACGATCTTTGGTTCTGGAGCTGAATCATTTCCTTGTATCTAAGAAAGACTTTCAGATTCAAAGGAAGGAAGTTTAATTGGACTGAATCATAAATTTTATTTTATGATTGATCAGTATAAACATCAACACCTTCGAATTGGACCAGTTTCCTCTGAACCATTAAGTGCTTGGGCAAAAAAAAATCCTACCTAATATTGAAACAGTTGAGGAGGTAACAAAACTCTATACTCTTCATTATAAAACCAATAAGCCTGAAAAAGATGGATTATTTTGTGGAAAAAAATTTGGGCCTATAAAAAGTGGGATTTGTGCTTGTGGAAATTATCGAGTAATCGGAGATAAAAAAGACCAACCTAAATTTTGTGAACAATGCGGAGTAGAATTTGTTGATTCTCAGATACATAGATATCAAATGGGCTATATAAAAGTAGCATGTCCAATAACCCATGTGTGGTATTTGAAATGTCTTCCTAGTTATACCGCGAGCCTTTTAGATAAACCTCTTAAAAAATTAGAGGGTCTAGTATATTGCGATGTGTGATTTGATAAAAAATCTTATTGTACAGATTTCAAATGAGAAATTGTCATTCCATTCAATTAAATTGGAATGTCCTATATCTGGCATGTCTCTTGGGATGATTAACATGAAGCTCAAAATTCATGGGTGTATTGAATACTCCCAAATCAATAAGGGAGTTGGTCTATGGTTAATTCAGTAACAAAAAATTCTTTATATTGTATGTACCTTGTGAAAAAAAAATACTTTTTGTGGAATTCATTATTCTACCTTTTTTTATTTTATATTTTAAAAGAATTAAAATTATGTTCAAAGAATAAAATATATCATGATTGCAGAAGTTTATCTAACACATATAGGCTTTAAGACATCGTGGCATACCCGTTGAGATGACGTCTTGAGCTAAAAGATCAAACAATATGATACAAAGACAAGAAATCTCTTATGAAGTCGAATATATTCCTTTTTATTAAGAATTTAATTTTAGAGGATTCCTCGTTCGAAGGGAGGTAGACTACTCAAGAATTTTACATTTTATTCCTGTCGGAATTTCGAATTGCATAAAAAGTTCAAAAAAAAACGAAGAATGTATCAATGAAAGGTTGCTTGGCCTTTATTGATAACTTGAGTCAAGAGTAAACATTTTTTATTTTATATTTTAGATTAGAGGTTTTCAAAAATTTGAAAGCGGAAACCCCTTTCTTTATCTTTAATTGTGTGTAAAAATACTTTAGCCGGATGAGAGGAAACCCACATGTACGATTTTCAAAGGGGGAGATCCATCTTATTTGATCCTATCCAAAATTTTCTTTTTCTAGGCCCGTAGTTAAAAAACCAACTTTCTTACAATTACGAGGTTCATTCGAATATGAAATTCAATCCTGAAAATACAGTCTCCCACTCTTTTTTTCTACTCAAGGTTTCGATACATTTCGAAATAGAGAAATTTCTAGTGGAGCGGGTGCTATACGAGAACAATTAGTTGATTTAGATTTAAGAATGATTATGGATTCTTCGTTGCTAGAATGGACAAAACTAGGAGAAGAGGGGTCCACTGAAAATGAAAATGAATGGAAAGATCGAAAAGTTGGAAGAAGAAAGAATTTTTCGGTTCGACGCATGAAATTAGCTAAGCATTTTATCAGAAAAAATATAGAACCAGAATGGATGGTATCATGTATCTTACCAGTGCTTCCTCCCGAATTGAGACCAATTATTCAAATAGATAGCGGTAAACTAATGAGTTCAGATATTAATGAACTCGATAGAAGAGTTATCTATCAGAACAATACTCTTATTGGTCTATTAACAACAAGTAGATCTACACCAGAGGAATTAGTAACGTGTCAAGAAAAATTGGTACAAGAAGTTGTGGATACACTTCTTGATAATGGAATTCGTAGACAACCAATGAGGGATGGTAATAATAAAGTTTACAAATCATTTTCCGATATAATTGAGGGTAAAGAGGGAAGATTTCGAGAGACTCTTCTTAGAAAGAGAGTTGATTATTAGGGGCATTATGTTATTATCGTAGGTCCATCACTTTCATTACATCGATGTGGATTGCCCCACGAAATAGAAATAGAGCTATTTCAGACATTTCTAATCTGTGCTTTAATTCGAAACCATTTTGCTTTGAACATAGGAGTTGCTAAGAGTAAAATTCGGGAAAAAGAACCCATTGTATGGGAAATACTTCAAGAAGTTATGCGGGGGCATCCAGTATTGCTGAATAGAGCTCCTAATTTGCATAGATTAGGCGTACATGAATTTCAACCCATTTTAGTCGAGGGACGTGCTATTTATTTACATCCATTGGTGTGGAAGGGATTCGATGGAGACTTTGATGGGGATCAAATGGCTGTTCATGTGCCTTTATCTTTGGAGGCTCAAGCAGAAGCTCATTTACTTATATTTTCTCATACGAATCTCTTGTCTCCGGCTATTGGGGATCCCATTATCGTACCAACTCAAGATATGCTTATTGGACTTTACGTATTAACTAGCGGAAACTGTCGAGGTATTTGTGCAAACAAGTATAATTCGTTTAATTCCCAAAATTCTCAAAATGAAAAAATTAGCAATAATAACTTGAAGTATATGAAAAAAAAGAACCCCTTTTTTTGCAATTCCTATGATGCAATTGGAGCTTATAGACATAAAAGAATAAATTTTGATAGTCCTTTTTGGCTCCGATGGCGAATAGATCAATGCATTATGTCTTCAATAGAAGTTCCTATCGAAGTTCACTATGAATATTTTGGTACCTATTATGAGATTTATGGGGATTATTTAGTAATAAGAAGTATAAAAAAAGGAATTTGTTGTATATACATTCGAATCACTATTGGTCATATTTCTTTTTATCGAGAAATCGAAGAAGCTATACAAGGTTTTTCTCGAGCCTATTCATATGGTATCTAATCATATAAATGGTTAGTGTTGGTATCCACGCTAAGTAAATTTATGATACTGGTGTAAATTTAGGTCAACTAGCATCTTTTCAATTTTATACGTGAATAAACATAAAGAAAAGGAAGTTTTCCAATCATTAACTCAAATCCATTGTCGAACCGAATAACACTGGGTGGAATATGTTGGTACTTATGGTAGAACGGGCCGATCTAGTCTTTTACAATAACGTGATAGGTGGAACTGCCATTAAACGACTTATTAGCAGATTAATAGATCATTTTGGAATGGCATATACATCACACATCCTAGATCAAGTAAAGACTCTAGGATTCCATCAAGCTACTGCTACATCTATTTCATTAGGAATTGATGATCTTTTAACAATACCTTCAAAAGGATGGCTAGTCCAAGATGCTAAACAACAAAGTTCCATTTTAGAAAAACATAATTATTGTGTAAATGTCCATGCGGTAAAAAAAATTACGCCAATACATTGAAATATGGTATGCTACAAGCGAATATTTGCAACAACAAATGAATTCTAATTTCTAACCCCTTTAATCCAGTCCATATCATGTCTTTTTCAGGAGCTAGAGGAAATGCATCTCAAGTGCACCAATTAGTCGGAATGAGAGAATTAATGTCAGATCCACAAGGAAAAATGATTGATTTACCCATTCAAAGCAATTTACATGAAGGACCGTCTTTAACAAAATATATAATTTCTTGCTACGGAGCCCATAAAGGAGTTGTAGATACTGTTGTACGAACATCAAATGCTGGATATCTTACACGTTGACTTGTTGAAGTGGTTAAACATATTGTTGTATGGAGAAAAAATTGTGATACCATTTGTGGGATTTCTGTAAACACCCGTAATGGGATGATGCTAGAAAGAATTTTGATACAAACATTAATTGGTCGTGTAGTAGCAGACGATATATATATATAGGTTTGTGGTGCATTATTGTTAGAAATCAAGATATTGGAATTGGACTTATCAATCGATTCATAACTTTTCAAACACAACCAATATTTATTCGAACTCTTTTACCTATAGGAATACGTCTTGGATCTGCCGATTGAGTTATGGGTGGAGTTCTATTTATGGGTACCTGGTAGAATTGGGAGAAGCTGTAGGGATTATTGCTAGTCAATCTATTGGAGAACCGGGAACTCAACTAACATTAAGAACTTTTCATACTGGTGGAGTATCCACAGGGGGTACTGTTGAATATGTGTGAGCCCCCTCGAATGGAAAAATAAAATTTAATGAGGATTTAGTTCACCCTACACGGACACGTCATGGATATCCTGCTTTTATATGTAATATAGACTTGTATGTAACTATTGAAAGTGGCGATATTATACATAACGTCATTATTCCACCAAAAAAAATTTATTAGTTCAAAATAATCAATATGTAAAATCAGAACAAGTGATTGTGGAGATCCACGCATGAACATCTACTTTTAATTTGAAAGAGAGGGTTCGAAAACATATTTATTCCGACTCAGAAGGGGAAATGCATTGGAGTATCGGTGTGTACCATGCATCATAATTTATATATAGTAATGTACATATCTTACCAAAAACAAGTCATTTATGGATATTGTCAGGAAAGTCGTGCAGGTCTAATACAATCCATTTTTTACTTCGCAAGGATCAAGATCAAGTTACCATGGATTCACTTTCTAATGGAAAAATAAATATTTCGAATCTTTTAGAAAGAAATGATCAAGTAAAACATAAATTCAATACTTTTGGTACAAAAGAAAAGTGGATTAGCGATTCTTCAATATTGAATCATATCATATGTACAGATCGTTCTGATTTAATGTAGCCTGCTATGCACATTCACCTCATCCAAGATTTATGAGTGATAATGACCCTCTTTCTTCTTATTCTTTCCTTGGAAATACCAAGCAACTAATGGTGGCCAGTGATCCTAAGTACACGAGCGTCGGTGACTTCAAGACCATTCATACTTGTGAGGAAATGGTGGCCTCCTTTCAGCTACACATAAGCCTCCCCGACTTTGGTAACGAGGATGAAATTATTCTAGAGACATGTTTTGAGGAGGGTCCGGTCAACATGGTCTCCCTCTCTTACTCACCTAATCCTTTCCTTTATATACACCTTCTCCTCGTCCAAGATTTGGGGGGGTTCTAGTTTCCTTACCTTGTTTGAAGCGGAGGTTTTAGCTACTGCAAATGTTGCTCCCTCCTATGTCTTGATGAATGGTTAGCGCTTCATTAGGGCCTTCAAGATCATGTGTCGAGGACTGGAAGCCAACCCTACCACATAGATATTCCTTTACTTTTATGTTACTAAGACTTGGGTGAAATAAGTTTGGGTGACTTTGTGCGCACGGTTAAGGAAGAAATTATTCAAGCCTCACTCCAACCACTACAAAATTTGAAAGGATAAGTTTGTTAAGTAAGGTGTAAATATGGTACCTTCATGGTCACAAATGGGAGGACGATGACCCATGCTTTCCTTACTCTTGGATGGAATACTCAGTGGCGATCAATGGATTTAATTTTAATTATCTTATCCTCACTGAGAAGGATGTGGTTCATTTTCGGGATGAGTTTAAAGTCACGGGATCCCGAAAAATGATTGAATTAGATTTGGGAAAGGACAACGTGATCGATGAATATTTACATGCTCTTAGGGACTTCTATATAATGATTAATTAGAGAATTTTACTTTATTCTCCCGGTCTTCAGGCTTCATTAGGGATGTCAATGGGGCGGGGCGGGGCCGGGGGGACACTTCCCCATCTTTTTCCCCGCCATCAAATTCATTCCCCGTCCCCGTCCCCGATCTCCGTCACGGGGGAATTTCTATCCCCATCCCCGTTCCCCGCGGATCCCCGTTCCCCGCGTGGATCCCCATAGATCCTACATTTATTCATTAATATTTTATTTTTTTAAAATGTTTATATTTTCTATAAAAATAAAAAGCACAAAGAATTCACATATTTATTATGTTATTAAAAAATACTAGTATTTGACATTTATTATTTTTTATTAAAAATACTAATGGAACACAAAATAATAATATTTTTTTTTATAAATTTCTATAAAATGCTATAAAATTCAACAAAATGAACTATAATACTTTTTTAGGGTCTAATATTTACATTTCTCTTTCTTAATAAATACATGAATATTTATTTATTTATTTTTATAAATAAACATAAAGGAAATGACTAAAAAACCTAATCTAAAATATATATATTAAATTAACTATATTAAAATAATAGGCGGGGCGGGGTCCCCGCGGGGCGGGGGGTGTATTCCCCGTCCCCGTCCCCGAAATGCTCTCGGGGGAATTTTTCTCCCCATCCCCGCCCCCACGGGGGAAAATTCCCCATCTTTGGGGCCCCGAACGGGGCGTTCCCCGCGGGGATCCCCATTAACAGGTCCAAACTGACATCCCTAGGCTTCATTAATGACATTCTAGGCCTTAAGGCTCGATTATTTTTATCTTTGTATTGGATGACTTACTTTCCTTAAGTATAATATTTTGAGAAATCTCTTTCAGATATGTTTCCAAATTCTATATTTCCTAGTGATTTGTAGGTGGCAATTTTTTTGTTGTAAGGATCCAATATTTTAAATAGTCTCGCAGGCTGCAAAGATTCTTTTGCAAGAATTCATCATAGTAAATTATTTGAGCGACAAGCAGGGGCGGATCCATACATTACATATTGGTGTGGCTAAAGATGAAAGAAATTACGAATTAAATCATATTAAAAATGAATAATAATATTGTTTAATGCAATACATTACAATGAAAATCGTCTATCATTATTTTCTTATAAATGAGCTAAAATAACATCATCAATTTTGATAATCAATTAGATCCAATAATTCATAATCAACAATTTTGATACTCTCACTTGAATGTTGAGTTTCCGATGCTTTTAAATTAGCTGAATAAGTAGCTTTGTCTCTAGAAAGTACCTGAAAAAATTTATTCATCCTATAAAGAGAACAATAAAACCAATTGATTAGAAAGAAATAATTTATGATCAATTAAAAAAATTAATATTTTTGGTAAATTGGAGTTTTAGGGTTCTACTCAAAAAGGAGAAAAGAATGAGGAAAAATTGAAATACTCACTTTACTTTTGATTTTCAATCACCCACAATGAGTTGGTGTTGGTGGTATTTTTTTTATTAATTATTTTAATAGTATTATATATATATATATATATATATATATATATATATATATATATATATATATATATATATATATATATATATATATATATATATATATATATATATATATATATATATATATATATATATATATATATATATATATATATATATATATATGAAAAATCTGGTGTGACTACCTGCCTATGAATAGATCCGCCCATGGCGACAAGGATTCTTCTTCGAAGATCCAACGATAAATTTTCATTCTTTTATTTTTCTTAATTACTATCTAAAAATTATTGTCTTTAGGATCCATGTGAATGTGAAATGTTGAATGATTTTTTTATTCAAATTATGCTTTTTAGTACAAGTGATTAATAAGGATTTAAGTTCATATGAAATAAATTTTGTGAAAGAAAAACTAAGTCTTACAAAAAGTTTTATCCACTTAAAAGGGTATATTATTTTTATAGATAAATGTTAATTGCTATTAAGTTATGCTACGAATCAAGATTTGAATCTAAGTTTTTGAATCTAAGTTTTTTTTAGTGTTCTAACTCAGTCACTTGAGTTATAGTCTTTTAAATTGACTTAACTACGACATTATGTCAATTTGAGAGAGTCTAGAGAGAAAGAGTTGTCTTTTTCTTTTCATTTACATTACCTGTATCTCATAAAAGACATGTCTCTTAAGTTATGGCTTAAAAAGAGGAAATGAAGATGATTGTACAAGAAATAGGTCCTATAGGTGAATGTATTTTTTGAGACAGCATCCCTTGCAGAAGGAGTGTGACTTAAATATAAATCAAAGCTCAAATATATTTTGTTT